GGACCTGACGAATTCGTTATCGATGAAGCTGCGCGAGCATTCTAGCTATGGCAAGCGCCGATACGACGCGCTGCGCTACGATGACGCGTTACAAGAAGTTCGGGAGCGCGAAATCTTCGCTGAGAAGGAGCGCAAGAAGGACATGCAACGGAAGCGACGCAGAGAGAAGTCGATGCAAGTCACCATTGAGCAGAAGGAAGCTGCGTTGGCCAAGGCACTCGCAGCTGAAGATGAAGCCGAACGAGCTAAATGGCTGCGGGACGCGGAGCGAGCTAATAAAAAGGCCCAGCAGACCAAGCTCATCCTACAAAAGGGTATCAAGGGCCCGGCGCGCAATTTGGCACCACTTGAGCTGAACTTGGAGGGAGGCACTATGTCAACATTCCAGGCCACGGATTTGGAGGCCAGTGCCAAGGCCAAGGGCAAAGGTCGTAGTGGTAACCGGCCGAAGAAGTCCAAGGAGCAAAAACAGGCAGAGAAGGATTCGGCTATTGCGGCCCAGGCTGCTCTGGATGCCGGCGAGGAGCTTCCCACCAAGGAAGAGACCAAGATCCGAATTAAGTTGAGCAAGAACTCGTCTAAGGATCCCAAGGAGAGAGAGAAGGAATCCAAGGACGGTGCCGCGAAGGAGTTTAGGGAGAAAGAGAAGTCTGTTGAAGACCCTCCGCCTAATCCTCTCGAGGTCAAGTTCCAGTCCAAGGGCTACAATCAGATCTATGACCAGATCTGGCGCGACCTTGCACGTAAGGATGTCCCAAAGACATACAAGCTGGCCGCCGACTCCTATGCCACAAAGGCCTCGAACCTCAAGAAGACGGCCATACTGGCTTCGAAAGAAGCTAAGCGTTGGCAGCTTCGTACCAACAAAGGTAGCAAGGATCTTCAAGCCCGTGCTAAGCGTTGCATGCGCGACATGATGAGCTTCTGGAAGCGCAACGAACGTGAGGAACGTGAGCTGCGTAAGGCGGCTGAGCGACAGGAGCTTGAGAACGCCCGCAAGGAGGAAGCCGACCGTGAAGCTGCTCGTCAGAAGAGAAAGCTTAACTTCCTTATCTCGCAGACCGAGCTGTACTCTCACTTCATCGGCAAGAAGATTAAGACGGACGAGGTTGAGCGTAGCACTGACAACCCAGATATTGCGCCAGATGCCAACGCCCCCGCCAAGCGATCCAATATCGACGACTCAGAACCGTCTGGCCCGGTTGGCGCGAAGGTTACGGACTTTAATCAGCTCGATTTCGATGCTGAAGACGAGGAGACCCTCAGGCAAGCTGCTATGGCGAATGCCCAGAATGCCATCGCAGAGGCTCAACAGAAAGCACGAAGCTTCAACAAGACTGACAACGATATGGATGAAGATGGCGAGATGAACTTCCAGAATCCCACGGGTCTTGGTGACGTGACGGTTGAGCAGCCGAAATTGCTCAACTGCCAACTGAAGGAGTACCAGCTGAAGGGTCTAAACTGGCTCGCAAACCTTTACGAGCAGGGCATCAACGGAATTTTGGCAGACGAGATGGGTCTCGGCAAGACGGTCCAATCCATTTCTGTCATGGCCTACCTCGCCGAAGTGCACGATATCTGGGGCCCGTATCTTGTCGTCGCGCCGGCTTCCACTCTACACAACTGGCAGCAGGAGATTGCAAGGTTCGTTCCCGAATTCAAGGTCCTCCCGTACTGGGGAACTGCTGGCGATCGAAAAGTGCTACGCAAGTTCTGGGACCGCAAGCACAACACTTACCGCAAAGATGCGCCTTTCCATGTCCTAGTTACATCTTACCAGCTCGTGGTCTCCGACGTCGCTTACTTCCAGAAGATGCGTTGGCAATACATGATCCTCGATGAGGCGCAGGCCATCAAGAGCTCTCAAAGTTCGCGTTGGAAGTGTCTACTTGGCTTCCACTGCCGTAACCGACTGCTTCTCACTGGTACTCCTATCCAAAACAACATGCAGGAGCTTTGGGCCCTTCTCCATTTCATTATGCCTTCCCTGTTCGACTCGCACGATGAATTCAGCGAATGGTTCTCGAAGGATATCGAGTCTCACGCGCAGAGCAACACGACGCTCAACGAGGACCAGCTTAGGCGGCTGCATTTGATCCTCAAGCCGTTCATGTTGCGCCGCGTCAAGAAGCATGTGCAAAAGGAGCTCGGTGATAAGATTGAACTCGACGTGTTCTGCGAGCTCACTTATCGACAGCGCGCCTATTACAGAAACTTGAGGAACCAGATTAGTATTATGGATCTGATAGAGAAGGCGACTCTCGGAGACGACCAGGATTCCGGCACGTTGATGAACCTCGTCATGCAGTTCCGAAAAGTGTGCAACCACCCTGACTTGTTTGAACGTGCCGACACCACGAGTCCGTTCTTCGCCGGCTACTTCGCCGAAACGGCCTCGTTTGTTCGTGAGGGAAATAATGTTCCAGTCGGGTACTCAACCCGAAGTCTCATCGACTATCGCTTGCCACGCCTCGTTTGGACTGATGAGGGCCGATTGAACAAGGTCGGGAAGGACAACGACGAGGCTGGCTTCAGAAACAAGTACTTGAACCACCTTATGAACATCTGGACCCCGGAAAACATACGCGAAAGCACATCCGGCAACGACGCGTTCTCCTTCCTGCGGTTCGCTGATGCTAGCCCCGAAGAGGTCTACAAAGCTAGTCACCGTGATGTTTTCTCGCGAGCCGCAGAGTTAGTTCGAAAAGAGGATCGACTTGGTCGTATGAACGTGATATACGACGAGTCGGGCGAGGAGAATTGGACACCCGCACATGCCCTGTTCCAGATCAAGGCACGGTCTGATCGCAAGCCTCTAGCCGAGATCACGGGTGAAAGCGTGCTCGATAACCTCATGAACATTTCCCGAACAACGTGGCGTGGTTCTGGTCTGAACAGACTCGAACAAGCAGCTCTGCCTGGTGCTTCCGCCCCTCCTATCGAGGTCTCGTGTGAGGGTACCCGAGGCCCAACCGCTGAGCGTGAAGACACGATGTTCAACCGGCCAATGCGGAAGAGCCTGTACGGACCTACTTTGATAGAAGAGAAGGCTCTGGTGTTGCAGAACACTCCTGTCGAGCGGTACCCACCACTCGCAATGCTTCCTCCGCCGGACAACGAGAAACGTCGCTTTACAAATATTACTGTCCCCAGCATGCGCCGTTTCGTCACCGACAGTGGAAAATTGGCCAAGCTCGACCAGCTATTGTTCAAGCTGAAGGAGGAAGGTCATCGTGTCTTATTGTACTTCCAGATGACGAAGATGATCGACCTTATGGAGGAGTATCTCACCTATCGCAACTACAAGTACTGCCGACTTGATGGGTCTACGAAGCTCGAGGATCGTCGCGACACTGTCCACGACTTCCAGACCCGCCCGGATATTTTTGTCTTTCTGCTTTCCACTCGTGCCGGTGGTCTCGGTATCAATCTTACGTCTGCCGATACGGTCATCTTTTACGACAGCGATTGGAACCCTACCATCGATTCGCAGGCCATGGATCGTGCGCATCGTCTTGGCCAGACGAAACAAGTCACGGTCTACCGTCTCATTACGCGCGGCACCATCGAAGAACGTATTCGGAAGCGCGCGATGCAGAAGGAGGAAGTGCAACGCGTTGTCATTCAAGGAGGCGGTGCTCGAGGCGTGGACTTTAGTGGTCGTCGGCCTGCAGAGAACCGCAACCGCGATATTGCCATGTGGCTTGCCGACGACGAACAAGCCGAGCTCATCGAACAACGCGAAAAGGAGCTAGCTGAAAGCGGCGAGCTCGAAAAGGCGAAGAAGCGAGGTGGCAATAAGAGAAAGCGGGAGGCAGTCAGCTTGGATGAGATGTATCACGAGGGTAAGTCGCTCTGAAGGTTTCACAATACTTTCGACGTAAATATGCTAACTGTATCATTCTAGGTGAGGGTCATTTCGATGATGGTAATAAACCTTCTGGCACAGCTACGCCAGTTGAAGCAGGAGACGCGAAAGCGGCGAAGAAGCGAAAAGGAGGCAGTAAGAAGGCTAAGACGACGAAGCAGCGACTCGCTATTGCCGATGGCGAGATCGACATATGAGCATCGGTCATAATGAATTATTATCACTCTACACGCCATCACGATGGGACGTGAATAGCACTCCTCAAAACAGAAGCCGAGGAGGGGTCTTGTACAAAATAAGAAAGGAAGAGGATACGGCGTTATATTGGTATCAATCATATGCAGGGGACAGGCTTTGGAGGGACGAACACACGTACATCCGCACACATCCATAGAGCTAGCCTAATCATCACCTTTCACGCAAGCAAGAAGGGGAGGGAGAATAGGGGGGGCGGCGTGTGGCCTGAAAAAATTCCGTCGTGCTAGGCGGCTAGACTTTGCAAATCCGGATTGCTTCCTTTTTGAGCAGCTTCTCTTTTTTTTTTTCATCGTGGACGTGGATTGCCTCCTACTGGGAGGTATCGCTGTAGGATTACCATAGAAGACTGAGGGATGATCGTCGTTGAGTCAATGCATGCATGCCCCTAGGCGTTCAACTGAACTAGACTGAGTTGGCGATGATTATTCGAGTGCCTGACATTTCCATATGTAGTGAGTGTCCTTTCGAAACCCATGCGTGCTATTATTCCCGTCATTCAGTCGTGACTTGAGTTTAATAGTAGAACCATGATGGATAATGGATTGGAAGAAGCAGTATCCGTATGTCTATGGGTCGATAACCACTGCATACCGTCTAAGCCATCTCTGCTCGTAATATTCCCCATCTCCCCATTAGCTAATTTCCTACCCAAGGCTAAACAGTGACGTGAAGTGAGGTGGGCTAGGCATAGGACTTGAATATCTGCATTCAGAGGCAAGGTTGTTAGTTCTAGGCAGGCAAAAAGCCATTTCAAGGTCTACTCGTCCCCATCTTCGAGTTGAGAACCCTAGCCCTTTGAGGTCCCACAGCGTAGTAGACCAACCAGCCCAGACAAACAAAAGGCCGAAAAAGGAAAGGAAGAAAAACAAAGTGACCACGCTGGGGATCGAACCCAGAATCTCCTGATAACTCCAAGCTTGCTCGAGCAAGTACTGGTCGTAGTCAGACGCCATGCCATTAGGCCACGCGGCCTGTGATTGGTTGAAAGCGCCTGTTGCTACTTTACTTTATAAGTTTGTATTCTCGAGGGCGTCTAAGTGGGTTGAATTCTTCGAGTCAATTTAAAATTTTCATTCATAGTGGGTACTAGTAGGAGGTGGTGAAATAAGGTCCGTATTCATTGCAAGGGAAAAGACCCTTAAGAGACGCGAGTGGTGTTGATGCTGACAGGGCAGTGTCTACAAATTAGGTACCAGCGAGATCACAAATCATGACTGTGTAGGGCGATAATTTCATAAACAATTGATTCATCTAGTCTATCGAGGACCGCAAAACCCCAGTGCATGCCGGCGCCAGCTTTTCGCGACGCGCAAATCCCTGTCCTCGTCTTTAACGTCAAGGCTTTTACCCTAAGGCTACGGCTCATGCATCGTTGCCCAATCTATAGACCTCCGAGCCGCGACCACCTATGTATGCATCCCCTACGTTTAAGCTGCAGTAGGACGCGCCCCTGCTGTAAACGACGAAGTTCACTAGGCCAACCAGACCAAGCATGAATTGTGCGAAGTGGACAGTTTCAGACTGCGCCGGCAGCCAACATCTTCTTGCGCAGGTAGTTCTTGTACTCTCCTATCGAGCCCTGCCATGGCTTGATCGTTCGGTTCTCGCAAACTAGAATTTGCTTGGCAATCCTGTCAAGCAATCTGTCGATTTTGTTAGCACCAGCTAGAAGATGTCATATCAAGGGACAGTCCTTACCTGAAGTCATGGGAGACCACGATGACACCACCGCTAAAGTTTTCGATGGCATCTGCCAAGGCGTCGATAGTCGGAATATCAAGACCGTTTGTAGGTTCGTCGAGAAGGAGCATATTAGGCGAGTCGATGGCAAGGAGGGCAAAGACGATTCGGCTCTTCTGGCCTTCGGATAGCGTGCCCATCAGCGCGGTCTGCACGGGGCCAGACACGCCGTATCTACCGAGACACTGTCGCCAGTACTGGTAGTCTTGCGACTTGTCCCGGTACTTGTCGCGGACGAAGTCCAGAGCGCTCTTGGTCAGATCGAGTTGCTCGGCGCTGTGCTGGGAGTAGAGACCGAGCTTAAGATGCGTGTGACGACGAACAGACCCTGAAGTCGGAGAGATCTTGCCCGTCATCAGGCGCAACAGAGTACTCTTGCCAACACCGTTGGGTCCGACAAGGGCTGTTCGGGAATCCATGTCGAAACCGAGATCGATGTGGCGGTACAGGTCGTCCTTTGCCTCGCCCGAGTATGAAAATGTAACATCGTCGAAGGATAGGACAGGAGGCGGCAGTTTGTCCACGTCGGTGAATCTGAACTTGAACTCCCTCTCCTCCTTGACTTCCTCGATAAGACCATCCGCGATCATCTTATCGAGAATCTTCTGCCGGGACTTGGCCTGTCGCACCAAGTTGGCATAGGTACCTGCGCTAGCGATGAACTCCTTGATGTGCTTGATTTCTTCCTGTTGCTTCTTGTAGGCCGTCATCTGGTTGGTCTCTTGTTCCTTGCGGGTCTTCATGTAGGAGTCGAAGTTACCACCATAGTACAGGAGCTGATGCTTTCGCATATCGATCATGTTGGTGCAGACTCCGTTCAGGAAATCTTGCGAGTGGGAGACCAGGACTAGGGTTCGCTCCCACTTCTTGAGGTACTCTTCGAGCCACACGCAAGCTTCGAGATCCAAGTGGGCGGTGGGGTCATCGAGAAGAAGCAAGGACGGCTTGACGAAGAGCGCCTTGGCGAGGGCGACGCGCATACGCCAACCACCAGACATGTCCTTTGTCTTCTTGTGGATGGTGTCCTTGTTGAAACCAAGACCAGTTAGGATGAGGGAGGCTCGGGTAGCGAAGGTTGAGGGGTCCATCTTGTCCATGTGCTGTCATCTTATTAGCAAGGGTATATGGCTTCGTATCAGAGTGTACATACCTCGTAAATGTCCATCAGTACAGGGCTGTCTGGACCCTCGTCCTCGAGAAGTTGCTCTGCCATCCTGTCCAGGCGGTCCATCTCCTTCTCAGCTTCCTTGAGAACCCATTCTAGGGCACCGAGGTCAGATGGCGGGGCACCTTCGTTGAGGAGGTAGATGTCGACGTGGTCGGGAATGGGGTATTCTCGCGCAGCGATGGCCTTGAGGAGGGTACTTTTTCCGCAACCGTTCTCACCCAGCAATCCGTAGCGGCGACTGAACGACAGTTCGAGCTCCGTTTCGTTTAGGAGGACACGGCCGTGGAAGGTTAAGCTGGCACTGATGATCTTGACGTCCCTGCTGGTGACTACGGACGACAAGACACCGGTGGTGATGCGGTCGGACAGACCATGCTTGTCTTTTTGGTCCGAAAGCGCCTTGACCTTCTCCATCTTACTATCGTCGGTGGCGGGGACATCGTCGAGATCGGGAGGGGTGTCATCGCCAGCGACGGAACCGGCAGCGCTCGCATTCTTAGATGCGACCTTAGAACCGGCCTTGGACCTGGAGACGAGGGTCTTCTTCTCGCCCTTGCCTTCGGCGGCCTTCTTGGCGAGTCTCTTCTCCTTAGATACGGAAACCATCTTGATATTCTTGTTCCTTTTGTCTATATCCGGCCAGGGGAAAACGATGGCGATAACGACGAATAAATCGAGTGAATGAAATGTACCCCGCTTAGGCTGCTTTATTAATGATGGCGACCGCGGGTTTTCGATGCGATCACAAGCAAATGTGACCGTCTTACCGAGAAGATGAAGTAGTGTGTAGTTCTCGGACGGAGAATAAACACGGCTTGGATAAGTAGAGGAAGGGAAAAAAAGATTTATCCTCCGCCAACTTTTTGGGTTGTAGGAAGTTTGGAGATGACAGTAGGAGGAAATCTGCGCGGGGGGCGATAAAAGTTCCTTACCGGCGCCTACGCATTTAGGTTGTGGCTAGTTGGTGGGCTGGTGGCTTGGTGGGGCAGTAGTGGGGCATAGAAATTTTCGCCCTTTCACAAGTAAAATCTTAACAATTATAATACTTGTGGGCCAATTGATGCCTCAGGCTGCAACGACTATCGATTGAATACTTTTTGCGAAGAAAATAGTAGGTGGGGGCGGGTCCTCTTTCACCGCTTTCGTCCAACCAAAGACAAGATTCGCTGACGTCAGAGTTTCTGTCTTTAACTACCTAGCACTACGAAGGTTGACTTCCTCACTACAAGGCGTAAATGGCAATGTCGATGTTTACTTTCAGCTAAATCAATACTGACATATACAAGAAGAGACTATATACCAATTAGGTCAGCAAGGATTAGGTGATACACACTAAAATAGTAAAAGATAGCACCTTTGAAGAGTAAAGCCATTCGGAACGATAACTGGCGATACGCCAGCGAAACGCCGACGCGTCAACAAAGCGAACCACCACCCCAGTCAATCTCTCTCTCGGACAAGGCATAAGACGATAGCTATACCTATGTCCCATCATCTATTTCTTTTCCTTTGTCTATCAATACTGAGCAGGTAAAATGAAACGACGGAGATAGCGGAGTATTTGCGATGGTCAAACTGTACTTACCCCTTTACCTCTTTATTGTTACCCCTATTCACGCTACCCCCAACTCGACAGGTCGCGTCAGTCAGATCACCGTTCAAAACCAACATGTGAAGAGAGAGTTACAACAATAGATTCATATCGAGCCATAAGCTTTACTATACAATGTGTCGTACCGAAACCAGCTTGTATTATCACTTCATCCCATCTCCAGAACCATTCTCATCGGTTCCAAGAGTCGATATCATCCTAACCTCCAGTACAAATTACCGAATTTATGTAGCTAACTTCAAAATTTGAAGAGAGGCAGAGACGCTAGGCGGTTACCACCAAGTCGTCCAAGTCAGGTTGCTGCTGCGAATAGTAATCCCCTAGAGAATGTGAGTCCGCCTGGTGATACATATATGACTAACGATACTCACAGCCTGTTTTTATTCTTCATAGCTATCCCGCGAGCTTGTCTCTTTTCCTCCTTCCTAGACCTTTCATAGCGCTCCTCGAGCTTCCTGTTCCGTTCGCACAAGTGATCCCTCTCGAGCGTCAGTTTATCGTTTTCAGACCGTTGTTGCCGAATGAGCTCCGCGTCTCTCTCATCGCGAACCTGGAAGACATGAATTGGTTGGCTTTGCATTCCAAAGTCTCGGTGTGGCTCGAGCTCGTAGTTTTGAACGCGGTGATCTTGCTGCCTTCGAACGGCTTGGTTTTCGTGTGGCGCTCTATCCATTTCCGCCGCGTGCAACTTCTGTTGTAATTCGAATTCCCTAGCAGCGCTTTCGCGGCGAAGCTCAGTTGCTGCCTCTTCCGCCGCTTCAAGTTGTCGTCGAATGGAATGCTCTCTCTGGCGACTCTCTTCCAGGTCTCTGCGCAGTGCTTCCTCCCGGTGCTTCTCTCTCGCAAGCTCGCTACGTAGCGCCTCGATATCCTCGCGGAGTTCCGCTATGAGCTCCTTCTGGGCCGACCCGGCTGCGATGAGGTTGGAATTCTTCTCTTGAAACTCGTATATTTTGTCTTTCAAATTGCGAATCTTAAGCTCGGCGTCTTGATGCTGACCATCGAGTTCCCGGCTTCTTCGATGGACTTTTTTGCTCTGTTCTTCAAGCACCCGGACATCCGATTCGTGTGGATATATATCCGGCGGCTGCTTCGATACATTTTGAACTTCCCACGCCACTATCTTTCCGTCGTACTTGGCTTTGCCGTCCTGGTAAGCAGGTTGGCTATAATTCTCACTTTGGTCATTGTTGCGGCGGGGCCGCGGTGGGATTGGAGGAGTAGACTTCATGCCATCGATGCGTCTTCGTTCAACATCACCTAGGCTTCTTCCTAGCCCGTCGTGGATTACTCTATTCTCATGTTCGTCAAGGCCCCCTGTCTGGCTCGAATTCTGAACCCAAGCCCCGTTTTCGAAGTGGCTTTTCAATTTAAAAACTCTACCGGTATCGTTTAAGGATGCCATTGTCGATGTCTGGAAACAAGGTGAGTTCTAGGTTGTCTATAGGGGAG